TATAGATATGAATGAGTCATGTCACCCAGTCCTATACACACTTTATATTCAAGTTCCCAGAGGATGAATTCTCTAAAGCTCTGTAATCCTAGGATTTGTCACAGAAGTCTCACGAGCACAGTGAAATATCATCACTGCTACAACATGGATGGGCCCTGACTTCTCACCTGGCATCACCAGCAAGCTGACAGTTTTAATCCAGCATGAAATGTCACAATAGTTGGGTGGCAGTGACCTTTGGCTTTAGACTTTCACGCTGCCCACACGATGATATGTAACAACTCTGGATAGATACCCTGACTTCTCATCTAGCGTTATCCTGGGGTTAGAATTTAAATTTTTGTCCAGTGCTTTGGTTCCTGGCCTAATAGCAGCAAAGCTAATGACATTCCCAGCTGCCTCGGTTTGCTCAGAGCACCAATGTGCCTGAGTGGAGCCTAATAGAGGACAGTCTCACTCCGACATGCTGATGGAGCGCATCTGCTCTCTCTAATCAGCCATTGTTTAAACTCCAGTGAAAATAACTTCATCATATAAAGTCACATCAAGCAACTGTTTATATTGTGACACAATGAGAGGGAAGACATCCTGCCGAGTGCTCACAGCCCACAGATCTGGACTAACTATGTTAAAGAGAGAGAAAATGACACATTGCCTTCTGTTGTTTAAAAACCAGATGTGATGATGGACTGGTGTGGCCTTCAGAGCTTCTTCACTCACTGAGTATAGTCCCCATTTTAACTAATATGTTTCCATGTTATAAAGTAAAGCATCACATTTAATCAATAAATGAATTACCTTTACTGTGTCACAATGTGAAGAGCACAGGAGCGCAGCAACAACCTTTTTACTTTAGTAGCACTGTAATTGAACGTTTTTAATAGTGACGTACTATGTCTTCATGTCGTCTCTAATTGTAATAGTTAGAAACTGCCTTGAAATAAGCTAATAAGGAATAGTAGCCTCCAATCCTTTACCTGCATCAACCAATCAGAGAATAGTCTCATTTGACAGATGCAACACATCCTGTTCTCACCAGAGCTCCAGAGAGAGCTTTGAGAGCAGAGATGTAAAAATATGTTGATGTTCTTTTTGGTTCTAAAAAACCACAACAATCTTCTTATGGATATCAAAACTTAATCACAGGGAAAGTATAAAATATGCGACCTTTAAGAAAGCAATTGTTGATGCTTCAGGCATTTCTGACTCAAATTGTTATTCACCTCTGCCTCTGAAATCCCAAATCAATATCTCTTCCTCATTTGATGCTCAGCCTGGGCCTTATAGATTGACAGTCACACACACACACACACACACACACACACACACACAAGCTACCCTTTCCATCTCCCTCTGATTCAATTGTCGATGCCTATCTAATGTCCCTGCAGTGCCACCATGGCGTCAGCTGTGCTAACGAATGTCAAAGGAACAAGGCATTGATCACGTAATCGAATGACGTTTCAATTAATGCATTTCGGGGTAGTGTGAAGGAAACCCTGATGGGACACACGCTGGGGAAAGTTCTGCAAGTACAGTTTGCGCATGTGTTTCCATATGACTGGTCACATAAGCCTGACCGTAATTGTGCAGCGTTGTCAGCCGAGCGCTGTTTGCGTGTCGTTCTGAATATTCACCAGCGTGTCAACTCCTTAATGGGGCCGGCAGAAACATTTGCTGAAACTATTGACGCATTGTCCCTCGATGTGTCCCCGCTCTCGTTTTTCTGACACACACACGCACACTCTCGCAAACAAAGACGTCCTTCACATCAGAGAGCTGATTATAAAATGTAAGATGAATGTCAAGAGACTCACGATGAACAGCCCATGCCGGCCCTGTAGGGGCCTTGGCATTTTACAAGCTGCCTCGAAAGAGGTCTGACGTGACAAGGACATGTCATCCTGAAGCTCTTCTGAGTGGAGCCGTCACTGTCTCCCGCTCGTTTCGTACACTCGTTAGATAAAATGATGCATCAGCAAAGCCTCGTGTGACTCAGACACCTTCAGCTTGCCTGTAATATGTGGTAAAGGCATTAAAGGACACAATGCTTCTCATCTCACTTCCTATGTCTTTCTATCACGATATCTCTCCTGATTATTTATTCACAGACGTTTCCTCATCCAACCCTCCTGGCTTCCTTCGGCGACTCATTCTCTTTCCCACCTCCTCTGGAAGTGTTATCTGTTTACACACACACACACATATACGCTCTTGCTGCATCTCTGGCTAGATCTCACTCTCTCTTTTTTCTCTCGGTACCACCACTCGCCCACAGGCAAAGTCATCCCAGTTTGCTACACCCCCCCTCCCAAACACACACAAACACAGCCTCCACCCTCCTCCTCCTTGCCGATCAGATCATCTCGCTACCTCAGAGTCATTTTACAAATTTGGCCTCTAATTGGGTTTCTCCTGCGATTAACTTAATAACAACCTTCATATTAGAGTTTAATGTACCCTAATGAGTCCATTTGTTGGCCAGTGGCTAATTAGGTCTGAGCTGTTTATAGATAGCTCAAACTGAATGATGGGCATCGCTGAAACGCAATCGGTAATGGAGTCAAGGCCTTGTTCTTTGCTGTAAGCTTGCAGCCGTGTATAGAGCCCCCCCCCCCAAAAGAAACAGATTATATGGTTCTGGTTCGTGGATCAGTTTGTATCATTTGTGAGACAGCGCAGCATTAACATTAATGACAGCTCCAGGGGAGCAGAATAAAATCCATTTAATATTGACTGACAAATCTTCTTCCTCCTCGACAAGCATTGGTTTTTATTAGCGCTGATTGTATTTGGGGTTTGAGGAGACTCCTTTTGTTAACGGATCATTAGAATATTTATATCTGGCAAGTGTAGACGAACATACGCAGCCGGAGACCATCAGGACTCGTCATGACAGACAAACATAAGGCCCCACAGGTAGCGAGTGGAAGGGACGGACACCAGGACCCTGCAGAAGCTATCACGTCGGAATCTTTGTTGAAGTTTTAACAGATCCCACTGACGTGCCACGCCCGTCCCCTGGAGTTTGAGTCTGCACGAGGCTTGGGTTTGATAAGGCAGAGGGTGGGTGATTACACAGTGAGCTGAAGAGGGTTGATATTGGGCCGTGTCACAATCGCATGCCTCCAGGTTAGCATGCTATCAAAAGAAGGGGTTTGTTTGAAACAAGGTTGTCTGACTGCACACAGCTGCAGCTCTATGATAAAGAGGGGAGGTGTGATAGGTGAAGTATTTATTCTGCGACACTCTCTGTCCCCTTCTGACTCAGTTCAACTTAAATGTGCAGACATCCTCCTAGAAAACATCGCTCCCTTATCTCTGTATGTTTGTGTATCAGTGCTCTATTTGGGTTGTTAAATATTAAATTACAAACTCTGTGTCAAAGTTACTTGAGCTGTATATGGACACCAGGTGAAAATGTAGGGACTATATATCTCTTTTTATTTGTGTCTATTTCTTATTCCCGGAGCCAACACAAAGACGTATTTCCTGCTTTGATTCTCTACAAGTATTTGCATCTTTTAACTCCCATCAAGACAAACCATCAGCTGGAGGTGGTTTCACCTGCTATCTGCTGGCTCCATGCAAAGCTTATTTAGTTGTATCCAAACACAGAATGGGTTTGCAACATCTCCTGTGCATTAAAAAGTATATTGGCTTTGTAGTAGACCTAAACTGGGACTTTTTATACCTGAAGGAATTGTCCATTTTTCCCCTTCTTAGCTCAGAAACTTCTCATAATGGACCATTCATCTTTTTTATACAAGACACATGTATGTGACTACAATTTCAAGTCAGCCATGATGGGAGCACCACTGAAAATATAAGTCAGAATAACCTTCTGTACACAAGCACACAAGGCATTCACATTTAGTATTGTTTGTACAAGATTAATACACTTTAGTTATTTAATACTTTTAGATGTAGGACATTGTACGCATTCAGAGTCAAATGTGTATATCCATTCTTGTATAGGAGAAGGTAACTACATTTTAATTTCATTTAATTGAGTTAAAGTGCGTTAAACACATTATTATGTAACTTTAATGAAATGGACAGATGCATAACAGAATAAAACAATGAACTCATATATAGGACGATAACGTTTTTAAAAGTTGAATACCACCTTTTTCTATTTACAGCATTAACTAGAATCTAGTGACAAAAGAAGAGTAAAGGCCATATTATCCATTTAGTATGGAATGGTGGGAAAGTTGAAATGTCCAGAGCAATTTCAAAACTTTGAGATTTAAGTCAAAGTGTTGACATGTGAGTCAAAACTTTGTGAGTGGCCAGTGTTTTTCATTTTCCCCCAAGTTTGTGTGGTTTCTCCTTCTAAAGCAAAAGTTTCGGTAAAATCTCGTCAGATACCAAATACTAATGACCAGTGTCTTCATCTGCTAGAGGATGAGGTGTGGGTCTGGGAAGAAACTATTTCATTTTGGTGTGGATCTGGATCAGGGGCAGATCCAGGAACTTTTTTTCTGTCTCTTTAACATTGTGACAACATTGGCATCTTCTCAGATAACAATTCATGGATCTTGATGAATAAATGAGGCACATTTAAAGAACTGATATCTATGAATGTGTGAAATCTAGAAGGGGACCGTTCTGCCTTGGTGCTGTTGGGCCTCTTTGCTTTATTCTCAACATTTCAACTTTATTCTCGGCAAATGAAATGGAAAACAAACCTCACATTTTCATGTAAGCCTGGTCCAACTAATTCATACAGATTTTGTTAGCCTGTCTTTTGCTCCTATAGAAATATATTAACTTTTTTTTTTTTTTTTAATAATCCAATGCAAATTTGGATCCATTATTTCTGAAACTGGAGAAATGAAATCATAAATGTCCTCACCCGGGCCACCATCCTATTTTCAATCCAAAAAAAAGTTTTGACCCTGATTTCACAGTTTGCTCCAGCCAACATGTGATCTCCTCTTCTCCTCTTCTTGTTTTAAAGTGAAGAAAACAGAGCAGACATTTGATAACTTTGTTGTAACGGTGGAACTACAGGACTGAACGGTCCCATGCCCGCAGTTTCTGAATCTCTGTCCCGGAGCAGTCGACCTCTGGTCTCCGGTTCTCTGCCTGCGACTCCGCCTCTCTCAGCTCCAGCACATGAGCGACCGTCTCCCCCGCCAGGCTGCCGCCACCCCGAAGCCCCTTCCAGCCCCAGCCCGTACAGCCTCCCCCCGCAGCCCTTCCGCTGAAAACCGGACTCCACTCGGCTGCCCCGACCCGAACCCGCGGTTCTCTCACGCTGAACGGTCGCTACAAAGAAAGAAGAAAAAAAAAAAGTTGGGAAAATTAAAATAGGAAGGAGAAGTTTTTCCTCTTTTCGCCCCCAGTTCCGTGGCCCCGCGGCGGGGCAGGACAGCTCGGACAGGCCGGGGGGAGGCGGACAGGAGACCGTACGATGTGGATCTGGTACCTGCTGCTTGGTTCCGGCTCGAGAACAGTTGGTAAGTTTGGATTTTATTCGGAAAGTGGTGTTGTTGTGGCGGCGCGGACACGAGAGCACGGTGGGTTAGAGGAAGAGGAGCAAGAGGAGGAAGAGGGGGCAGAGTGAAACAGTATCCGCGGCGGTGCAGCTTCTGTCCTCGGGTTTATTCTGCCGGAGTTTGCTCAGAGTCTCTGGAACAACCTCGATGAAGAGAAGTTTTCATTTCGACTGACGGGGGCCGTGTATTGTCTGGAAACGGGGAGCTGGAGCAGCAGCTCCACACTTTCCCGTCCGTGTCCAAAGCATTGAAGTGGCTGCACGTCCCCACTCAGGATATATATACTGAGTGTATATAATGTGAATGTACATACACCCACACACTGTACCCATCCACTGCCTGGTGACTGCAGCCTCCTCTGGGCTAAGTTATGACCTGGAGGTTATGTTGTTGACAGGACAGTGTTGACAAGTCAATCTGGTCTCCGGCCCCGCCATGGCAGCTGTGGCCCGGAGGTGGAAGTGTGTACACGGGGACAACCAGCTGGCTCCTGCGGTAAAACTCCAGTTTACTTAGCTTTGATTCAGCATCCTTATCTGCAGCCATCCACCAAGTTCTGTCATGATTATAGTGACCAGAATGATCGTGGTAATAAATATTATCACTGTATTATTAAAATGTAATTTCAAGTTTCTGTTGACATTCATACATTATCAATACAAATGATGCTAGAGTTTTCACTATTTATCGAAGGTTGACAACTTGCTATTTTAAGTGCAGACATCGACCTGAAACATCAGAGTCGGAACTATGAGCGTTTGTTAAACTCACGCAATCGTCAGTGGATGATAGTAGTTGTTAGCTATGGCCAGAGATCGCTAGCCCCCACCTGCCTGCCGCTTCTCCCGCCATTATTCTCGCAACTCACAACAAATGCTGCTTCTGCATCCTGGAGACTCGCCGACTTGGGTGGTTGCTGGAAAGTATCAACCTTGAATCATCACGGTAATTCCGGTAATTTAAGATTAAATGATTCGAATAACCGTTAGGAATTGTACCGCAGTATACCATGAAACCAGAAATCATTTCATCCCTACTATCTACTAGTTATAGTGTGCATCTCAGTTTTGGCACATGTACAGAACATCTGCATGTCATCCATCCAGATGTAAAGAGTTCATTCATCATGCTTTACTTCTTCTTCTTCTCCCATTTACTTTCTTTTAATATTACCTGAAAGCTTCTTCTTCTTTGATTGGTTTATTGGAAGGTGGCAACCAATGTCAACATGCATTACCGCCATCTACTGCTTTACCTCTTTTTCCCTTTTACCCCAAAACAACTTTCAATAATAATAATAACTTTTTAACTATCTAAAAAACTATTTAAAAAAACGTCCAACAAATTAGCTCATCCGAGAAAAACTCCCATGATCCCACTGTACTTCACAATGTGGTTGAATTTACATCATATGTTTAAGCTACGGTAGCAAGGTCCCACCGATTCACATGTTCGACCAATCACAAGCCAGTCTCAGCTGTCAATCATGAGGTTTCACCCCATATTTTTAGCATTAAGAATAACAAAATAAAACCAGTCTTATTGGAAAATATACACTTATATTCATCAGTGTAATAAGAGCTGCCAAAAATGACGGAAACCACATTTGTGAAAAAAACTTTTTAATGTGCCTTTTGACTATTTAGATTGGTCCATGTACCATCAACTAACATGGGGGAGACGGGGTTCATGATCTACACTGCAGCCAGTCACAAGGGGGCTAATTTGGCTTCATTTTTGGGGAGCTGTCATGTTGTCCCATTATTTACAGTCTGTGAGTGTAGCAGATGACACATTTCTACTGGCGTGCTGTGACCTAAACTGTACTCACATTTATTTGTGGGAATCTATTCCGTGCCAGATATTGCAGGAAGTTGGTCTGTTTTCTTTCACGTGGCCCAGGCACCTGGGAGTGAAGCATAAATATCATTATATTAGGTGTGGAGCAGAGCTCTGTTGTTGGCTGCCAAACCCCACCTTCATTCTTCTCCATTGAAAGAGCTTGTACACATGATTGATGTCATAATATCACTGTAGTTTACTTACTTAAGTACTGTTTATGTGTTGTCAGCTTTGAATAAGTTGTACTTCAGTCTTGTATTAGCTCATACCCCTGACCAGGGTAATAATCAGCCAGAATGTGTGTTGTATTGTGTCCAAGTCTGTATATCAGTTTGAATACAGCACAGATATTAGCAGCCTAAAATTGTCCTCTCACAGGACATTGTTGCTATTCTAGCCAACAATATTATTAGGCCTAAATTGAGTATTCTGTCAGAATAATTTGAATGTAATTTGACATTAGGGTCGAACACATTTCAAAATCTATCTTGGGTCCTGGGTGATACCTATTAAAATGATCATAATATTGACATATGAAGATATGCCAATTGACACTGGCAGAATATCCACCCCACACAGAGTCAGTGCTATAAATAATATGACGAATAGAATTTCCCTTGCAGGTGAGATTTGTGCAGAAGCCTCAGTGTTTTTCCAAATATGCACTGTAAGAATTTAAATATTTCGCTACCTACGCCTACCTCATTGCAACTTTGAATGTAGCAGATGCACAGATGTTATTTCATTCACACACTTATCCTCATGATACGAATTTTCCAACAAATATAGGAAAGTTGTCATTTAGACTAAAGGAATCATCACACTTTGACTACATCCACATTACAAGGTATCAGTTTTAACTTTTAATTGCTACTATTAATACTTATACTACTACTACTACTATTACTAGAGTTTTCAAGCACCTAGAATAGAGAACTTAGGAAACGCTGCTGTGCTGTTTTGTTTTTTTAAACTTTGGGGCTGCGTTGTTAGTAGAAATTCAGAAACAATGATGCAGTCGCCTGCATACGCTTCCTGGTTGTGTTTTACTGACACTAGCGATGGATACAAAGCATTTCCAACTCTCACTTTAAGTAAGTTCCACCTCGTTGTTAGTCCAAGTAGAGAAATCCCTGCTCTTACCTATCATCACTGCTGACTCATGTTTGTAGTATTCATTGCAACAACGAACCAAATGCAAAATAGATCATCGGCTTCATGTTTACAGCTATGCCCTGTGTACAGACTTAATTCGGAGCTAAAACTCTCGTCATGATGGAGGTTTTCATTTTTAAAACGGTGTATTGAAATTAAAATGTATTGGTATGGATATAGCCGAAATTACAGTCATTGACACACTCAGCAAATAAATATTAATTATAACATGTTTCCAGTACTTTTATGCAATTTTGGTAATTTCTCAATAACTTTTTAATCTAAGCAAATGTTCCCTGTACTTTCCCATAAATTTACAGTATATGTATTTGCTTCTGGTTAGTAGAAACTTTGTTCCAATGCGTACACCCCCTGTTCTATTCCAGGAGTGAAGTAAAACACTGGTATCACTGGACCACTGGCATAACCCCTGCATTCTACTCGCCTCAGAGATAAATTGGTCCTATGATGTAACATGAGCTTTAGCCACACAATCCACTGACAATAGAATGTTGCCGTGCTGTTACAAACAAGGCTTGTTGTTGGTATAGTGGTGAGCAGCCAGGAAATATATTTAAGCTGGTCTGCTCAGCCAGACACCAGGGGAATTATTGATATGAATAAACAGAAGTAGGAAGTCAGAAAGATGTATTAGCTTTGCATTGGTTATTTCCCACAACACCTGAGGATGATTATTGCTTGTTAATGCTCAGCACCATGATATGTGTAAATGCCAACTTTTAAAAAGGTTTGATTACATTGCTCTGGTGCCCTGTGGTGCTGGGGTCGACTATCCTTGTGCAGATCTTCTGCAGATACTGTATGTGTGTGGTGATCAAATATGATATATACGTTTTCTTCACAAGCTTTTAAATTAGGTTTCTGCTTCATTTTCTCCCTGGTCCCTCAATTGATATCAGATATATCAGTTCAGAATGCATGTCCTTGCCTGTCGCATTGAGCTTAAACGTGTGCATGAGTGCATAAAGAGACAACTCGGACATTTCCTTTGATTCATATGCACTTATGAGATGCAGGACTTCAGCTTGTCTCCATGTGTTTAAGATTCACAACTACTCATACGTTTGTATTAATATTATCTCCTGACTTTTCTCCCCCTTTCATGAATAAGTCAACTCACAGAGCTCTCAGAGCCCAAGACTCGCTCTTGTGAGGAAATTTGGATGAAACCTATCAAGGTTAATATCCAAGATACTTTGTTTTCCCAGTGTGGAAAAAGTGTCTCCTCGACATAAATGTGTGCTTCATTACTCTTCCTGTGTTACCAGGCCATGCACACACGCACACACACACACACACACACACACACACACACACACACACACACACACACACACACACACACACACACACACTCACACAGGCCAGGTGGTGAGATATATTTATTCATCACCAAACACTTTTCGGCTAATTTCTCCAGCTGAACAAGGAGAGAGAATCCTATTGTCTCCAGCTTATTGTGCTTTGTAATGTTTGTGTTGTGGCTTCTTCCCAGAGACAGTCCAGTTGAGACAGGAGGAGAAAGAGTTGTTGACATGGTTGAAATGCTTACAGCCATAGTTGAACAGAGAAGGCCGGGGATTAAGGGCCAGTGTGGCTTTAGTTCCCAGAGTTGTTACACAAACCCACATGACTGGAGTCATGTTTCAGACCTTGGTAACAGTGCAGCATTAACTGCTGTAAGCACGAATTGTATGTATTCTGTGTCAACATTTATTGGTCAAGCGTAACTCCACGTTACACATGATCAGTAACGCATATTTTTGTAGGATCTTTGGCCATTATGTATACATGATGTAGTATTTACCTCTGTGTGATATGTAGGTTAGCATATCTGATCCATTAGCCTGGTTGGAGAGGAAATGTTTCATGAAGTGTGGTTATTTACTGACATGTGGATTGAAGGAGACAAAGAAACAGAGAGGAATAAAAGGAGTTTTAAG